AGATGTAAGGCGGGGCCTCGTCATATGACGCACACCTGCACACTTGCTAGCCTGTTCCACTCTTTGTTTCCGAATGTCAGGAAGTATTCTTGACGTCGCTTCTGAAGCAAGAATGCTCGGCAGACATGTGCTACCAAGCAAGCGGTACTCGACATTGAGAAACAACCCGGAGACTCTGTGTCTGTTTAAAAGAAGCAGAAGAAGAAGAAAAGAAGAAGAAGAAGAAGAAGAAGAAGAAGAAGAAGAAGAAGAAGAAGAAGAAGAAGAAGAAGAAGAAGAAGAAGAAGAAGAAGAAGAAGAAGAGATGACTTCAGACTCATTCCTGCATCACTGCGGCACACTCTGGTCTAATGTGCAACTGTTTCTTTTTAGTAATTGTTCGTTGTTAAACTGGTTTTTAGTCCTTTTTACATGATACAGGTCTCTATGTCTGTGGGTCTGGGTACAATTACACTAGAATAAGGAGGAAGTGGAGGAACAGGAGGAAGAGGAGGAGGAGGAGGAAGAGGAGGAGGAGAAAGAGGAGGAGGAGGAGGGGAACAGTTCATTATTATTTACATGAAAGAGGTTGTGAAAGTCTGCGAGTCAGGTTTCCATTAAACTAGGAGAAGAAGAAGAAAACAATTATTTTGTTATTTTTGTCATTTAAAACAATTATTTGAAGTAAAAATGATGTTGTAATTTCCGTAGTAGACACAACAACAAACACTGTAACACCCCTGTTGTGCAATACTACTTATGTGCAATACATACTTCCACCTTTAATACTTTCACCTGATTGCTTATTGACTGTTACTGGTACTGGATGTGTATTTTGTAAATTGTGTTATTTCTAGTTTTATCTCTTAGTATTTGTATGCATGCTTCTTGGTTGATGTTAACCCCAAGCCTGTTTTTCAGGTTTCAGGCTCGAAAATGACATGCCCAGAACAAATGACTATAACTTCACTTCTAAAAGGGTTAAATTAATAATCTTTTTTCTCAAAGCAAGGTTACATCTGTGAGATGGATGTAGAAGTGTCAGAATCAATATAGATGTTTCTGTGTCAGAGTGAATTTAGATGGAACATAGTAAAAAAGTGTAAATTCTTACCTCCGCCTAAAAAAAACCCATTACTTATAGTGCAAACCACCCTTGAATGATGGGTTAGTAGACTAAAAGCTTTAGGAATCCAAAGTATAACATATAATAAGGCAAAACAAGTGAAAATTGACCTTTTTAGAGATATTTAGGGAAAAAAAGTCCAGGCGGACTAAGCTTTGGGCACATATGGGCACATCTGGTTCCATCAGTGCCATTTGACCTTTTTCAGGTACCAGTATAAAGTCGAATTTTTTTCATATAGTCAGTTAGCTGAGTTTCTTCCCGTCAGCTGGGTGTGGAACATTAATAGTTTCATAAATGACACTTCAGAGATCACACTGGTGCTAGCAGATGTAGCATTTTCGGACCCTTCGGCGGGTCCGTGGGGTTTAACAGGTGGGGTAGGTCATTCACTTCAGAAACACTTTTTGTTATATTGCATGGAATGCTCTTAACATCCCGATAGCAATAAATATCTTAAGTGCTTTGACAAAAAATCCATTAAAAAATGTCATCTGTGGAAGCCGTGGCGCTGTAAAAAGCACGACCAATCATCTGAGCCAGCCCGGCTAAAATAACTGGATGGCCTACCTGCCTGTCAGCCTTCCATCTGTGCACAAACTTGTCTCGTGCCCTCATTGGTCATGTGCGCGTTTGTGTGTGTTGGAGGAGGGGCTCTGTAAGGAAGTCTGAAGGAAGGGGCAGATTTCTTTTGGCTGCGTACTTTCAAATTCCAGCGCACTCGAGCTGGTTTCTCCATTCTTACCTACCCTACCTTTAAGCTGTCTCTGGCTCTTTACTTGCTGTAACAAAAGTACATTTCCCCTCTGTGGGACGAGTAAAGGTATTCTGATTCTGATTAGTTTATCAGTACTGCAATACAACGTGAATCCTTTTGTTGTTTCTTTTAAAAAACCGATTCGAAACAGAAATGATGTTGTAATTTCTGAACATCCCTGTTTGCTAACCTGCAGTCCTCTTCCCGTCCTTTCTCTGCATGTGACTGCCCCCAGTTGAGCTTTCATTGTCATTACGTCTGCTTACAGGCATTCACAGAGAAGAGCTAAATGTAAAAAATGTGAAACTTAACAAGGGTGTTCCTGCATGCATCAGGTCATTTGTCCGTAGAGTGAGTAGTCTGTATTTAAATACACTAAATAAGTATATTTAACCTCTCTCTCTTATGGTGTAATATCGGAGCATGTGGATTGCATTTGAACCTGATCTTGGATATTTTCCCACTGTGGCACCGCAGAGTTTGAGCATGAAATCCACTCTCATTCTCAATGTGGGACAAAAGCCTTGACCCTTTTAACCTTCAGATGTATAATAATCCTGCACTGCTGCCGTCTGTAGAGGGGGTTGTAGAGACTCTGACAAACAAAGGACATAATACGTAAGAAACTGGGATATTAAAAACCCTTTGAATGACTTTCTGTGTTCACCAGAAGAGCTTAAAGAGGCCATATTATGCCTCTTTAAAGTAGAGACACTACATACTGATATACACCTGAACATCAGCAGGAGAGGACTCTTTAAAGTAGAGACACGACATACTGATATACACCTGAACATCAGCAGGAGAGGACTCTTTAAAGTAGAGACACTACATACTGATATACACCTGAACATCAGCAGGAGAGGACTCTTTAAAGTAGAGACACTACATACTGATATACACCTGAACATCAGCAGGAGAGGACTCTTTAAAGTAGAGACACTACCTACTGATATACACCTGAACATCAGCAGGAGAGGACTCTTTAAAGTAGAGACACTACATACTGATATACACCTGAACATCAGCAGGAGAGGACTCTTTAAAGTAGAGACACTACATACTGATATACACCTGAACATCAGCAGGAGAGGACTCTTTAAAGTAGAGACACTACCTACTGATATACACCTGAACATCAGCAGGAGAGGACTCTTTAAAGTAGAGACACTACATACTGATATAACCTGAACATCAGCAGGAGAGGACTCTTTTAAAGTAGAGACACGACATACTGATATACACCTGAACATCAGCAGGAGAGGACTCTTTAAAGTAGAGACACTACATACTGATATACACCTGAACATCAGCAGGAGAGGACTCTTTAAAGTAGAGACACTACATACTGATATACACCTGAACATCAGCAGGAGAGGACTCTTTAAAGTAGAGACACTACCTACTGATATACACCTGAACATCAGCAGGAGAGGACTCTTTAAAGTAGAGACACTACATACTGATATACACCTGAACATCAGCAGGAGAGGACTCTTTAAAGTAGAGACACTACATACTGATATACACCTGAACATCAGCAGGAGAGGACTCTTTAAAGTAGAGACACTACATACTGATATACACCTGAACATCAGCAGGAGAGGACTCTTTAAAGTAGAGGACACTACATACTGATATACACCTGAACATCAGCAGGAGAGGACTCTTTTAAAGTAGAGACACTACATACTGATATACACCTGAACATCAGCAGGAGGGGACTCTTTAAAGTAGAGACACTACATACTGATATACACCTGAACATCAGCAGGAGAGGACTCTTTAAAGTAGAGACACTACATACTGATATACACCTGAACATCAGCAGGAGGGGACTCTTTAAAGTAGAGACACTACATACTGATATACACCTGAACATCAGCAGGAGAGGACTCTTTAAAAGTGCTACTAAATTGATCTTCATGTGTAATTGTTGGAGTTACCCATAATTATTTCACTGTAGCGCCACTCATACAGGAATACAGTTAAGATAAAGTCCATTGCGAGATATTGACATCAGCTTTTCATGCAAATATCTAATCCTGCGTTATAGAGCTGAATTCAAAGCAGACAGCTGATAAAACGCTCAGTGCTGCATACATTACTTCCAAGAAGAAGTGACGCAAACACAAAAAACAAACAGGACACAAACATGATTATTGATATTGAAACAGACGGGCTTGTTGGGAAGTGGGCATTTGGGATATTTGACCAGAACTCAACACTAACCTCGAAACATTTCAAGATTTTAAAAGCAGAAGGGATGACGACTGATGGCTTCATGGAGGAAGACTGACTCAGCATTTTATTGCAGGTAAGATAACGCTTCAGTATGATGAATGTGCTTTGGAAACTTAAAATAGGCCGACCCAAATACCTTAATTTATTATATTAAGTCTGTAAATGATGAGAGAAAGGCAGTTTACGATATATGGATATTTAAATGCTATATAGGGTCGAAAAGAATATGAAACCTGCAGTAATCTGAATTCCTGATCTTATTTTCTAATTATTTTAGAGCTGAAATCAACTGTTAGGAGTTATAGATTCATTAATGCCAAATAAAGTCAATTGCTGATAACATGCTGCTTTCTATTAAATCAGATTTACAGTAAAAGTAGAGCCCTGGCCTCAACATTGAATTAGATGAAAAAATGCTTTGTTCCAACATTTACAAAAACGGGACAAATTTGACCCGAGGACAACAAGAAGGTAAGACCAGTTTAAAATGTGAATATTCAGACACAAATGTGCAATTTTTCTTGCAACTCTTTATTTGGACTAAATCACGCTGAGGATCTCGATGCTAATCTGAACATCTGAGTGTATAAATATCTCTCTGATGTTCGGCCTATTAAATCAGACTTACATTAAATCTAGAGCCCCGGCTTCAACATTGAACTGTTATTTGTCAAAGTGAATATCAGTGATTGTTAACCTTTGTGGCAATTAGATGAAAAAAAACCTTTATTCTAACATACACATTTACAAAACGGGACAAATTTGACCTGAGGAAACAGGAAGGTTAGACCTAGTTTAAAATATAAATTTTAAGACACAAATGTGCAATGTTTATTTATAAAAATGCCTGATTTCACTCTTTGATTTGACTGAATCCAGACTGAAGCTGTTTCCACGCTGAGGATCTCGATGCTAATCTGAACATCTGAGCGTATAAATATCCTCTGATGTTCCTCCTCTTATGGCTGACGGTAACTCGGTGGCATCAGCTGTCTTCGTCCTCCTCAACGTCTCCGGAAACTCAAACTCCACCGGCTCTTTCCAGGCGTCTCAGGTGATCCGCTGGCTGACGTTAAGCATCGGGCTGCCGGCCATCGGGCTCGCTCTGTACACCCTGAAGAACCTGTCCAAAGGTTGTGTGTGTGTGTGTGTGTGTGCGCGTGTGTGTGTGTGTGTGTGTGTGTGTGTGTGTGTGTGTGTGTGTGTGTGTGTGTGTGTGGTGTGTGTGTGTGTGTGTGTGTGTGTGTGTGTGTGTGTTGTGTGTGTGTGTGGTTGTTGTTGCTCACATGTCCAATCACTGATACAATCCTCCCTCCTGTTGTGTACGGGTCAAATCGATTTACCACTTTCATCGATCACAAATATTGTGTTTTGCCTCTAGGCCTTATATCAGGGGTCGGCAACCTTTTTGATATGAAGTGACATTCAAAACAAATTATTTTATCAGCGTGCCGACGATCGTGAATTATCAACGGGGGGGGTGAAGAGCTCGACGCTCGTGAACTGGCGGGGGGAGCCTCGCTGCGGGGAAGCAGTGTGTGGACCTGTCAGCGCAACTTACATGATGCCAAATTTAACAAACAAATTTAAATAATTGGTTTAAACGGCATAATAATAAGGACGATCGTCCGTTCTGTGATTCTCCAGAACACAGATGGCCAGTCCGCCCCTGTGTAGCATGTTATTTCGATGAGAGATGAGCAGATCGCCACTGGGCTTTCAACTAAAGACACATTTGTACAGCTCCTTATGGGTACTGCAATTTGTGAAGTGCTTTCCTCTGTGGTGAAACGATCAGCGGCAGAAAGTCGCCTGGAGTTAAAGAGAGCGGGGCTGCGCTGCGTGCATGGCTTCCTTCTGCAGGGAACGGGGAGAAGCGCTCTGGCGGCGGTCTCGTTCAGGATCCGAAAATACAATTTAAATATTTTGCACACTTATTCCACTTATTCCTAGTGTGCCACTGGTTACGGTGCCGCGTGCCACTGGTTACGGTGCCAGGGGTTGCCGACCCCTGCCTTATATTATGATATTCTCCACAGTAGCATTTGAACAGATGAAACTGCTGATCACAACCACACATTTTGAGGTGTTTCCAGGTCAAATATTATATAATTTTGCTCGATGAAAGTAATTAAGAAGTATCACATTGATCCTTTCTGTTCCTCTCTCCAGGTGAGAACAAAATCCCGATGCACGTCGTGTTCCTGCTCGTCTCTGATATCGTGAGTTTCTTCGGGCGTCCCAGCGTTGACGAGGACTCGGAGTCCAACACCGTTTTCTCCTCTAACCCCACCGACTTCATCTTCTACTTCGGCATTGTCACGAACGTCACCCTTATGCTGTTCATCGCTCAGGAGCGCCATCTCCTGGTGGCCTACCCTCAGTGTCTGCTTTTCTGCGGTAACGTTCGGCGATCTCCTGTTGTCACGTTGTTAATGTGGGCGTCTCCGTTCGGTATTTTGGCCCTCGCCGTGTTGAAATACAGCTTCTGGTTCGCTGTGTCTCTACTCGCTCCGTTCCCTTTCCTCCTTTTCTTCGCCGTGGACTCCTTCAGAGCCGTGATGTGCTCCCGATCCAACCCTAAAACCCCCGAGAGGAGGAGGGCGGTGTGGGGGATCGGAGCCATTTTGGCTAACTACACCTTTCTGTACGTGCCGTTTATCCTCAGCGTCCTCCTGGAGGCTCTGAACTTCGGGGAGACGGTGAAATATCTGGGTCTGGTCTCCCACATGCTGCTGTACCTCAGCCCCCTGGTGGACCCTTTTATTTACATATTCATGACCAAAGGGTTCAAAGAGGTGATGCTGGCGCTGCCCTGCTGTCACAACAGAAGAGAAAACACGAGTCCAACTGTGGAGACTGTGGCCGAGAGCGTGGAGACCAGGCTTTAATTCAGTTTGGGAACAATTGTGTTTGGATTAAACCAATGATAGAGACACTTAACGTCCAAGAATAGACCACAAAGTTAGCAAGTCAGGACGGACCCTGCTCATCAAGGACTCGATTAACTAATCAAAAAGGACAAAGTGCAGTGATGGTAAAATAACTCAGGTCTTTTACTCGAGTATAATGGCCAATACCACATTTTAAAATACTCTGTTACAAGCAAAGGTCCTGCAAACTAAATCTTAAGCAAGTAAAATGTACCTTAAAGGTTGGGTAGGTAATTCACTTCAGAAACACTTGTTATATTCCATGGAATGCTCTTAACATCCCGATAGCAATGAATACATTAAATGCTTTGACAATAAATACATCAAAAAATATCATCTGTGGAAGCCGTGGCACTGTAAAAAGCACGACCAATCATCTGAGCCGGCCCGGCTAAAATAACTGGATGGCCTACCTGCCTGTCAGCCTTCCATCTGTGCACAAACTTATCTCGTGCCCTCATTGGTCATGTGCACGTTCGTGTGTGTTGGAGGAGGGGCTCTGTAAGGAAGTCTGAAGGAAGGGGCAGATTATTTTCGGCTGCGTACTTTCAAATTCTAGCGCACTCGAGCTGGTTTCTCCATGCTTACCTACCCTACCTTTAAAGTACCAAAAGTAAAAGTTATTGTGATGCTAACGGACCCTTCATACATCATACGTATGGTAAATTACTGGATTGATGCATTATTGTGTTCATCACAACTGATAGAAGTGGGGCTCATTTTAAATACTTTATTGCTTATATGACAATGTTTACGCACTTACAAAGGACATTTTTATTTTAAAGTGTTTGAGTTATTTATTGTGTTGATTGTCTTAGTTGTAATGTAGTGGTTGTTGTTTACTATTTCTTTAATATCTTTGTTGTCACGATCTCTCCGTATGTGTTCTGTTTTACTTTTTTGGAGACCAGGCTTTGATTCATCAATTTGGGAACAATTGTGTTTGGATTAGAGGCCAAAACCACTCTTCACGTCAAAGAATAAACCATTCATAACAAAGTTAGATTATCGAGGAAAGACTCTAATCTTTCATGGAGATGTTGAAGAACATGAGAAGCAACAATAATCTGCTCGGTGAACTAATCCCCCTTCAAAAGAGGCAGTGCAGTGATGGAAGAAGTACTCAGATATACAGTATTTAGGTAAATGTATTTCACTACATCGCACCACAAGCAAAGTGTCATGTCTGGCCGTATGCTTGAAATAAATAATATGCAGCATTTGGATGTTGCTTAACTGACTGGAAGAGGTCTCATTGTGAATATAGCAGTGATTTGAATGTCTCTATTTATAAAATACTTACCTGTGATGAGGAATAAATAAGGCAGTCGAACACAATATAACTCAAAGAAAGACGGACATTTAATATGGATAACTTCCCAAATGTATGAGTTATAATTTAGTTTGGATGATATTTCATTGAGCATCAAGTATTTATTCATGAGTTTATTTCTCATGTAAAAAACAAAAAGAAACCGTTGTCACAGATTACAGTAACATGATGACGTGTTGGATATGGGATTTATAGATAATTAGGATCATTTACATCCATTGTCCCTGTCATTTCATATCCTTCCTATCTACATCAGTTACTTTAAAAACATAATACATGAGTCCAACACTTATACAATTACAATATTTACATCAGATAATCCTGAGGAATCTTTAATATCAGTGTGTTCTGCTTTGACCTTCATCAGGGTCATCAAACAGCACATGACAAAGAGCATGACAATAAATAGACAACCTATTATACACAGACACACACTGCAGGTCATGTGATCTCAGACCAATCACATCTCCTGAACTGGAATAGGGGCGGGGCTTAATAATGCACATGGGTGAAGCCATATTTAGAGAACTGCATGTAAGGTGCTTCATCTCATAAAGAGGAGGTGTTAATGTTAAACGTGCTTTTACTAAAGGGTTTGATCATGTGTGTATTAAACTAAAGCTCAGATTTTATTCCTGCTTTTTTAAACTGTAGTATGTGCTCATGTGCCTGAATGTGCTTCATGAAAGGCAGGTTTTCCTGTCAATAAAACCATTTCTGATCCTAAATATCTTTCTTTTCTAAGGTCACATTGTTTAGCTGTCTTACATAAAACACTTCAGTAAAAAACATCTTATTGATATTTATTTAATCTTCTTTTTGTTTGCATTGCATTTGATGTTGAGGTAATCCAATACGTTTTAAATTAGACCCCCCAACCCTGTCCATGATTTAAAAAAAAGTCGTTTTGATGTTGTGTAATTCTCACTTCTACCATCAGATGGCGACAAAACTCCCACATATAGTATTAAAGGTCCCCTATTATACTGTTTTTCATCAATATATTACATGTCTCAGATATATCCAGAGCCTGTCTCTGATTGGCTGAAACACCAAACAGATCATTGCAGCATTACCCATAATCCCCTCTTTTTCAGCCCTGTTTCCAAAGTGCTGATTCTCTGTCTGTTACTTTAGATGAAAATAAGGAGCCCCTCCCCACGCCCCTCTGAGAGAGATTTGGTTAAAAATAACTCAATGGTGCTCTAGGAGGAGATTCAGGTGATAAGGTGGGGGGGGTTTACCTTGGTTGGTGATTGGCTAATGGTTACACAAGACAACACATCGTTATGACATCACAAAGTGGCCAAAATCTGATCAGCTCATTTTCAGACAGGTTTTTATAGAAATGGATCAGGACAAAAAGAGAGAGAATCTTTGTTCCTGAAACTTTCAGTCTCTTTACACAGAGGGGACACATGTTGATGTAGAAGAGACATAAAGAAGAGGGGACACATGTTGATGAAGAAGAGACATGAAGAAGAGGGGACACATGTTGATGAAGAAGAGACATGAAGAAGAGGGGACACATGTTGATGAAGAAGAGACATGAAGAAGAGGGGACACATGTTGATGTAGAAGAGACATGAAGAAGAGGGGACACGTGTTGATGTAGAAGAGACATGAAGAAGAGGGGACACATGTTGATGTAGAAGAGACATGAAGAAGAGGGGACACATGTTGATGAAGAAGAGACATGAAGAAGAGGGGACACATGTTGATGTAGAAGAGACATGAAGAAGAGGGGACACATGTTGATGTAGAAGAGACATGAAGAAGAGGGGACACATGTTGATGTAGAAGAGACATGAAGAAGAGGGGACACATGTTGATGTAGAAGAGACATGAAGAAGAGGGGACACATGTTGATGAAGAAGAGACATGAAGAAGAGGGGACACATGTTGATGTAGAAGAGACATGAAGAAGAGGGGACACATGTTGATGAAGAAGAGACATGAAGAAGAGGGGACACATGTTGATGTAGAAGAGACATGAAAAAGTGGATTTTGCAGAATAGGTGACCTTTAATTCACCAACACTGTCTTCTGCTCCACGTCCTGGATGGTCTCCGGCAGCCTCTCCTTCAGGGTCTCGGGCAGCAGCAGCGCCACCAGGCCAGAGACTGAGGCCACGGAGCAGATGATGATCTGAGGAAGAGGAGTTCAGACGTCCTCCAGCATCAGAATTAGAGGAGCCACAGAGACCCCCAGACGACTCATGACGCTGCAGTAGCCCAGGCCGTTCTGCCTGGAGAGAACGAAGGGGACGGTGAATCATTAGAAATGGTAATGCAATATATTATTTTTAATAATAATATGTTTTTGTTTTTTTGTATAATTGTTTTGTGTTATTATATATTATTTACATTTATATTTTTACGTATTTATTTTTATTATATTTGAGTAATTTATATTTATTTATTTATGTATTTCAATTTTTTTCCAAAATTGCAATCAATAAAGTACTTATCTATCTAACTATCTATCTATCTATCTATCTATCTATCTATCTATCTATCTATCTATCTATCTATCTATCTATCTATCTATCTATCTATCTATCTATCTATCTATCTATCTATCTATCTATCTATCTATCTATCCATCCATCCATCCATCCATCCATCCATCCATCCATCCATCCATCTATCTATCTATCTATCTATCTATCTATCTATCTATCTATCTATCTATCTATCTATCTATCTATCTATCTATCTATCTATCTATCTATCTATCTATCTATCTATCTATCTATCTATCTATCTATCTATCTATCTATCTATCTATCTATCTATCTATCTATCTATCTATCTATCTATCTATCTATCTATCTATCTATCTATCTATCTATCTATCTATCTATCTATCTATCTATCTATCTATCTATCTATCTATCTATCTATCTATCTATCTATCTATCTATCTATCTATCTATCTATCTATCTATCTATCTATCTATCCATCCATCCATCTATCCAACCTGACGACCGTGGGGTAAAGCTCCGTTGTGTAGAGGTAGACGGTCGTGAAGGCAGCTTCGGACAGACCTTTTCCAAGAATGCCGACAATAATACGCAGATGCCACAGATCTAGAAAGAAAGTTTCAAGTGTCAATTTTCAAAGCTTTATTGTCATTTGCACAGCAGCTACAGTGTAGATATCGCAATGAAAAACTGAAGTCCCAACAGAGCAACATATATATAGGATAAAGAAAGTAAATCCAAGTGTCAATTGACCGTTCACAAAACAGCCTAGAAAAGGACCCGTGTGTGTAACCGGTGTCGATTCGCGGTGTCTGCGTTGTGTTTATGTTGTTGATGGATGAGACATATAACGAATCAGTAGTTATTATATTAGTTTTTCCTCGCACTGACTCTTCTCACGTGAAACACATTCACAAAAAGGGAAGAGGAAATCTTGAAGGACACAATATAAAGTGGGGAAGTCCCCAAAAAAAAAAATCTTCTGAGTACAGTGACTGAATTTTGGAGGTTCCGCCCACTGATTTCCGACCTAGTCAGGTAGTGAACGTTTAATAAGTGAAGAACACAGAATTATGAAATAAATGTGATTATACTAAATGATTTACAAATAAATATTTAACATTAAAGACCATTGCATATTTACAATTGTTACATGTTTACGTTACGTGCGCCGGGTGAAAATGGCTGCCGTGTCTTTGGCTCCTCTCCAACTCTGCCTCTTTTTCGTATTATTTCAGTGTTTGTTTACTTTTCGCCGTGTACTTTTAACCTGGTCCGCAACATGCGAGCCGACCGCACCAACTCTGCTATACATTATAGCAGAGAGGAACTTCTACAGATCAGACCTGTACTATTGTATCTGTTGTATTGTGTTGGAGGAGC